TCCTCAGAGGGAGTTTCTACTTGTGGCTGGGCATGTGGCTGGCAGCCACTCCTCTGACTCAGCAAGGGTAAATGTACTTCGTTTACCTTGGCTCTCATTGCCCTCTCAGCTTCTAGCTCTTCCTCCAGCTCTTCGATTCGGGCCTAGCAGACACACAAGGAAACAGAAAATGGGGTTCTCATATCTCCCATGAAAACTAGAAAGTTACCACTTAGCCTTTTAGACTAGAATATAGGGAAGGGACCATATTATGGCCACAGTCAGAAGGAGAGAGAAACAGGGCACAGAGAACATGTGCAGAGGCCCTGAGGCAGGAGGGAGCCTAATGCATGTGAGATCCAGCATAGCTGGACACAGTGTGGGGGGTGGGGGGAAACAGTAAGTGGTAAGGTCAAGGACGGAGCAGAGGCTAGGTCATGGAGGTCCTCATAACCATTGTCAGAACAATAATTTGACCCTGAGTGAGGTGAACTTGGGTTGATCTCCTAGGACTCCATGTCAGTCTTGCCCCTCAAGAATCTTCAGGAGCCAAATAACAGTTGTGAATGAAAGGTGCAGAGAGTTCAATTTAAATGGAGAGTTCAGGCTTCTTGGCTCTGGACATACCTGATGTTCCTTTAGTTTCCGCTGCAGTGTTGAATTTAGAGACTGCTCATCTTCATATTTAGAGTTGACAGAATTTATTTCCATATCCCTCCTGTAAGGGAAGGTTTAATCTGAGAAAAGGCTCTGAGGGTAGACCAGCAGGCTGCCAGAGGAGGCCTGGACCTGATGAAACCCACTCAGCTCCCAACCCCTGACCTTCTGAGGCAAGAGCCCAGAAGGTGTACCTTACAGAAGAGTCAGACCCCAGAATCTGCCCTACAAGCTTTTCATCACTCATTCATTCATAGGCTTTAGTGTGACATGTGCTTATTAGCACCTATTATTTGCCAGACATTGTTTAGGGTATGAGAGGCACATAAGTGAGCAAATAGAACAGGAGTCACTGCTCTGGTACAGCTTACATTCTAGGAGCTGCAGAATCCCTTTGATTCCCCCCCCCCCCATAGGGCCCATGCACTTGCTGGAGAGAGACAGAGAAAGGGAAAGTGAGAAATTACCCTTCCACAGTGGATAGCCACACTGAATCCCTTCTCCTCTATTCTCCTCTCAGTATTTTGGTCATGCATGCACATATATCTGGAGTGATTTTCAAGCCTCCATGTCCAGGACTTGACCCACAGTTTGCCATGTGGGAGTCACCTTAACTACCTGCTGGTCCAGATGCTTTGCCCTTTTAAGGAAAACTTTCCTCCAAAACCTTTCCACAAAATCTCTGTCTCCCTGACATGTGACTTCTACGTTCAAGAAACCACACGTGAGGACTAAGAAACCAGGTAGATGATGAAAATAGGAGGGTTGCACACACTTACTGGATGTATGCTGAGACAGATTTAACTGCACATGTCCCTCATAGCAGTCTTTGTTACTTTAGAACCACCTTAGTAAAATATGCTTTCAAGAGGCATTGTCCAAATTCTACTTCCTCAAAGCTTTTCTTATCTGACTCCTCCTTATCTCCACCCCACTTATTTAATGCTCTTGCCTGGATCATTGCATTACCTTCACAGTTGTCTTCCTGCTTCCAGTTTTTCTCCACTGCACCTGTCCTCTACATCAATGCCAGAGTGATAATGATAAAATACCCACTCAACTCCTTGTTGTCCTTGAGAGCACAGTTCATCAGTTTTTCTGAAGTTTCCCTGTCTTGCCTAGTCATCAGTGTTACCAGGGATGATACTAATCTCCTTTCCAATTCTCAACAAGCAGTATGTGAGGCTGGGAGCTCCCTGCTGACAGGGCAGCACCTGCTCCTCTGTATACCCTCCTTGCCAGGCTCAATGCCTGGAGCAAAGCAAGTTCTTGAGTCATGCACTCATGAGTGTGAAGACTCAGCTCAGTGTCTGGCATGTAGTGAGTACTTAGGTCATAATTCATGTACGTGAAGCTCTCTCCATGTTGCCTGGCACCTAGCAGGTGCTGGGATCATACATTCATATATGTGAAGACCTCAGCATGATGCCTGGCACCGTCTGGATATCTCTAGCTGTTGCTAACATTGTGATGGGTGAAATAAACACAGGCATACTTTTTCACCACCTCCTCGAGATCTAGCTTGGAACGTTCCATCTCATTAAGGTTGTCGATGGTCATCTTTAAGTCACTCTCAGCTTTCCGACGAGCCTTTTCCACCTCTGCCCGGATTTTCTTTTCCTGTTCCCAGTTATCCTCCAGCTACAGGGACAAGTAAAGCAAGAAAAGGTAGAGGAGAGGATGGGATCTGAGGCCAGAATGCAAGAAGGAACCAGGCTGGGCCTGATCCTTTAGCTGTGGCATCAAAAAGTTCTACATACCATGGGGGAATATCTTGGATTAGGTTCCAAAACTTATCTGAGAATCCTGGGCCCTGGGAAGCACCTGACCCTTGAGATGTAGAAATGGCCCCAGGTATTACCTCATGGATCTGGGTGCTAAGCTTGCTGTTGCTCTTGGTCAGGTGGTTCACTTTGTCCTCCTCAGCTTGCAGGTCATCCAGGGTTTTCTGGAAAGAAAAGATACACATGTGTGTCCCATGAGGAATATCAGAAGCAGCTGAATAGACCTGTTTCTCAGATATCACTTCTGAGCTGTGGGGCCCTAGGCTTTGGGGAGTTGAATTGACTTCAGTGAACAGTCACTGGGCTCTTATACCTGGGGTTCTGGGTGAGCCCAAGTGAACAGACCAAAGCATCTATCAGCTGCAGGTGGACCCTTAGGGGGTCATTTGGGGACTCTGATTCCCCAGGGGGCAGATAAGAAATCTTTGGGGTGTTTCTGGTTGTCACAATGATTAGAGGCCCCATTACTCTGGACAGTTCAGTACCATGAAGGATAATTCTGGATTCCACATGCTTGAATTCCCTCCCAGGCATTCATGGAAGTAAAACAACTATCTAAACTCTGCTGAACCTAGAACCTAGCACCACTTTACATGTATCTGATCATTGGAAAAGTCATGATGAATTTTGGCATAGAAAAACAGAAAAATAGGTCATGACTTTTCTGATGACCCAATATCTCAGCATTATTTTTTATTTAGTATCCACTACATCTTAAAGAATAATCTCCATGAAAAATGAGAGAATATTTATTTGTTATTGTTCAAACCGTCTCTAGGAGTTATTCACCATTTTGTAAAATCACATTACTGACAGCAGCCACACCTGCTATCCAAGTTGCAACATTACCTCCGGTGCCAGTCTGCACCATCACAGATGTCTCCTAGTGGATCTGCCTGAGCTTTTACACATTGGCAGTCCATTATTTGTTGTAAGTCACTTGTCATTCATTTCTCTTATATATCGAAGGACATACTATGATGTTTTTTTAAAGCAACCCCTAGGGGTGATGGCCATGCTGCAATTCCTTTCTCCTCTGCTTTTCTCTTGGGATTTTGGGCAAGCACGCACATGTACCTAGAATGTTTTCCAAGCCGCTTGGTCTGATACTTGAACCACATAGTTGGCCACATGGAATCCAGTCACCCCAACCACCAGATTGTCCCCAATTTTTTGGTGTTATGTATTACTTATTTTATTTCAGGATAGTAAAAGTATCCCAAAATACAGCCAATCCTCATTATTTGTGGATTCTCTATTTATCCATTCACCTACTCATAATAATGTATCCGTAATTGCAAATCAATACCTGCAGTGCTCTAATGGCTAATTATAAACATGGCAGTGGCAGGGAAGATTTTGAATGGGGCAAAATTTTGAGTCACCCAATGTGCATGTTTCTAGTGAAAGTGGAACAAGATGATACTCTGCTTTGTTTCAGCTGTCATATTGTATGCATCATTCTTAAGCTCTATTTAGTGCCATGATTTTTGCATATTTAGGCTTCTTACTGGTAATTTTGCTGTCTGAAATTACTCTCTCAAGTGTAGTATGGAAGGGCTGGCCTGTAGCCTCGGGCCAGGGAGCAGACCCCATATGGCTGACCCACAGTTCAAATCCTAGCCCTAGCAGCTTGAAAAACCCATGAGGTATGGGTACGCCAAATCCTGACAGGGTGGAGAAATGGGGACGGGCTTGCAGTACGACCATATCCCAAGGGGGGGGGTGCTTTATTCCTATATCTCTGTCTCTCTGTCACAGCATTCTCCTGGGCTCCTTTCTCTGCGGCTTCTGCAACTGCCTTCCTAAGACTGAAATTTTAAGCCACATTAGACTCAAAGCTCCCTTTTATTAAAAATATAAGTCAGTTGTTGTTATTCAGAATAGTTCTATAAAGTTGACAAAAACACTGAATTGGTAAATATTGAATTAGCAAATATGAGCCACCGTTCATAGGAGAAATATAAGGTTAGGGTCCTGTGAGCCTCTGGTCATAATATTTTCATCAGCTAATCAACACCTAACACAACTATCATCAATACATTATTTTGTTTTATACGTGTTTAAGGACACCTTATTTAGTATATATTGTTGATTTGTTAACACTGAACTCACAGACAATAACACTATATAATGCATGCCTGAATGAAGCTTATCTAACATGGATATTTTCCCCATAAGGTACATCATAGCCTTCTTCCACTTAGAAATAGTAGACAGTCTTCAGCACTACACTTTTTTTTTTCTTTAATTTCCAGAGGACATATCCATAGTTTGGAAGTTTGGATGATATGTATATGGTTCTCCACTTCTAACAAAACTGGAAGGAAGACAGCAAGATGTGGCTACATGTACTGCCCTGATGAAGGAATTGAGGTTGAAGAAGATTCTTTGACTTCCCTAAAGCCTCCAGGTGAAGGGCTGCAAAGCCAGGATTTGAACTTGGGTCTCCAGTCTCTGCATGTAAAGCATGTTATACCAAGCCTCATCCGCCTTTTCCAAGGGGAGTCTCAGGGGAACCTACCTGGTGTAACTCCTCCAGAGCCCGCTTCTCCTTCTGGAGCTTGGCAATGGAGTCTTCACGGAGTGAGAGGTCCCCAGTCAGGGTGCGAACTTTGTGATCCAAGGCCTGGAAATCAGGGTGGGGAGAGAGATGGATCCTTGAGGCAGGAAATGGCCTCAGTGGGAAGGACAGGAGGGGTCTTCAGTTCAGCTGTACCCTCTCATCTGGAAACTTGAGAAATGCCAAGTCCTAGGGCATGTCCCAGACCTATCAAGTCAGACTCTTGGGTGTGGAGGGGAGCAGCAAGAACCACCAGATCAGGCCTTTGCTATTTGAAATGTGATCAGATGTCAGCAGTGGCATTGTCTGGGAATGTCTAGAAACTCAGATTTTTGGAGTCCACCAGACCTGCCAACCCAGAATCTGTATCTTCTCAATATCGCCAGAGCTTGCATGCACATCAGAGTTGAACACGTTTAGACAAAGGCCGCTTTAATCTGCTTGTGAACCTCACCCACCTGCAAGGGCAGGACAGGGACCCCAGGGTCAAAGGTTAGTCAGATGGCATGAGGAACCAGAGACTCCCCCAAAGAACTACTTGGAGAGGCAGCAATCCTTGTTTGGGCAGAAACCCAACAGCTAAAGATGACACTTTTTCCATGACAGGAACAGCTCTCAGTTCATTAACCAACTGTTCTGTCCAGTAGAATATTCTACAGGGGTAGATAGATCAGCCTCTCTATCTGTGCTGCCTAGTATGGAGGCACTTAACACACATTGCTATTAAGCACTCAGAGGGTGGCTGGTCAATGGAGGAACTATATTTGAAGTTGTATTGGATACATTTGACTTAAAATGGCCCCATGGGACCAGTGGCTGGGGCAATGGGCATCACTCCTGTGACGGCTCCAGTTGTGGCCCCTGCAAGTGAATGGGCTGGGGGTACTTTGGCTCAAGAAGAGTGCACCAGGGCACAGGCAGCTTCACACCTGCTTCTCCTTTTCTGTCTTGGCCAGTGTGGTTTCTAGACCCTCCAGGTCCCGCTTCAGGTCACTCAGCTCCCCCTCCAGCTTGCGCTTGGTGGCACTCAGCGAGGCTGCCGTTCCTTCCTCCTCCTCCAGCCGCTCCCGCATATCTGAGATCTGGCTCTCCAGCTCCATCTTGGTCTTCATCATTTGGGTCAGCCGCTCTTCTGCATCCATCAGATTCTCTTGCTCCTGTTGGATGAAAGAGCCCAGCCTGGCTTGGGACTGTGACCAAGACTGTAAATGTTTGCCAAACTGAGTTTTCTACTCTGTATGATACATGTGAAAATTGGGTATTTTGTTGGGTGTTTGTGAGGGTCAAATCAGAGAAGGAGCAGGAGATGCTTTATAAACCAGAAGGATGAGGCAGTGAATACAATGTAGGGGTGTTTAGTCAGACATTCTACAGAAACTGTGTCATTGATTCTTCCCTGCTATGTTTCCCCTTGAGTGAAAAAAAGGGGGCTCAGAGAATATAAGCTGCAAGTTCATGAGACAGCTGGGCTCTGACTCCAGGGGGTGCTCTTCTCACCACATCTCATAGCTACCATCCTCGGACAGTCTCCACAGCCCAGGCCCATAGCTGAGTGCACCCAGCCTGTAGCTATGAGCACATAATTCTATGGATATTTTTTGGTAGTTGGGTCAAGAGTGACATTGTAATGAAGGAAAGAGTAGGCTGAGAAATTTCCCTCTGATCTGGAGCGACATGGCTTCATCCTGCCTCTCTCTCTGAGTCTGACTAAAGCAACCCTGGCAGTTGCCATAGTTCTCCAACCTCTTGCCCCTTCCCCCTGAGGACCCTACATACGGCCTGTAGTTGGATGGTGAGATCATTCTTCTCCTGACTGAGCGTGGCTGTCTTCTCCTCCAGTTCTTTGACTTTGTTTATCAGTTCTTGTGTCTTGGCCATGGCACTCCTCAGTTCCTCCTCTTTGGCCTTCATCTCCTCCTCTTGCCGAGCCACATTCAGGAGTGGCTTGACCTGGGTGATGAGCAACACAGCACCAAAGAGTTTTAAGAAGATGGGTTTTACCAGGGTACTAGATGGTAGCTGTGGGCGTCTGCCTCAGACTTGTCCTCATGCCACTGCTACTGTGGAAAGCAGCTCTTTCTGCAGCTCTGCAGGTGGAGCTCCTCACCATAAAGCATCCCTGGCCTCAACAGAGAAGCCTACCCTTGTTTAGGCCCAGTTCTTAGGATGCTCATTAATCCTGAGAGACATGATCAATGTTTCTCAGCCTTCTGTGCCCCCCAGTACTTTATCTACCTGAGCTTCTCAATACTTCTGTGGCACCTCTCACTCTCATTGGAGGATCTGGGTCCGTCAGGCCCCTCACCATGTTCCTCTGCCCTGCTGCTAGTCTGCAAGCACCCCAAAGATCTCTTGCATGTGGGTCTTTATAAACTCAGCAGAGCTTTCAGGACAGGGCCTCTGGGAATATTTCCTGAGAAAATTGGTACATTTCCCTGGAAGGCAAACACCATGGAAATGGATTTGGAAGGAAGGATTATTCTCTTGAAAGGTAACAGATAAACCTCATTCATTGCCAACCTGTTCATTGTCGCAATGGCAACATTGGTGTGAAAAAGTAATAATCTTAGATGCAGTTGGTCTGGGACTTTCCACTAAGGAAGTAGGTGAGATGGATGCACACATTACGTAGAAACCCTTTGATTTGAGGTATTACTCAATTAGTTCAGTGGGTAATTTAAAAAATGAAAAAGAATTAATCAAATTCACAATGTTGTGGACAATGTTTCTTTAGGATGAGGTTAAAGCAGTTAAGTTTTCTTTTTAAATTAAAATTTTCAAATTAAAAAAGTGAATTGAGGGACGAGCAGATGGTATAATGATTCTGTCACTGGACACCTACATAGTCGACCATGGTTCAAGTCCTGGCAGCTTAAAACTCATGCTGGGTGCCTGTGCATGTGTGCCTAAAATCCTGAGAGGAGAATGGAGGAGAAGGGATTGCTCAATGGCTATCCCCCCTGGGGGGCTAGTTTCTCTGTCTCTCTGTCTCTCCCACGAGCACATACATCCTATAGCAAAAATCTCTCATTAAAAAAAGTGAATTGACATGAAGAAATATGGCTAGTCACAGAACTGATGGGGAGATCCAGGCAGTGCAGGTGATGACTGGACACCTCAGGCTCAAAGGGGCTGCCTGTGTGTGGAGCTCTTTGGTATGCAGAACTTATGATTCCTCCCCTTCAATCTGTGATGAGCACCGGTGGTTAGAAAGCTGTCTATGGCTGTTAGAAGGGCGAGTGCTGTTGTGGAAAGATGCTTCTTTGTGAGCTATGGTGGGCTCAGGAGATGACTTGGAGTCTCTCCCCACTACCTGCCTGGCCACCCCAAACAACATCACCTTTCTGTCCTCTGAACAGCTAAACGTTTAGAGACATGTGCCTTTATGGTGACTCTAGAGGGCATGATTTGATCTCCACTCAGTGGAATGGTTCAAGGCCTCCTGCATGGCTTGAAGGCAGCCTGGCTGCTTGTGGAATCCACATCCCCATGGGCTGGCTGACTTGCACTGCCCTCACTATTGCCCAGGAAGATCCTGGAAAATGAGAGGCTGGTTTCCGTTGTTTCTTTTTTTTTTTGGAGAGATTTTTGCTATAGGGCACGTGCGCTCGCCAGACAGACATAGAGAGACATAGAGACAGAAAGCGAGAAATCACCCCCCAGGGGGGATGGTCACGCCGCAATCCCTTCTCCTCCATTCTCCTCTCGGGATTTTGGGCATGCGTGCACACATGCCCGGCGTGAGTTTTAAGCCACTGGGTCCGGGATGCGAACCGCGGTCAACTACGTTGAGCCCAGCGACATAGCCATTACGCTAACTGCTGGTTCCCTGGTTTCCATTGTTTCTTGAGGTTCTTCTGGCTTTGAGGCCAAGGACTCACTGAAGGAATTAAAAATGCCTCAACATGCCCAGGCACAAGGAGTCAATAACCAAGCCCACTTTTTTTGGTATGAGGGGTGAGAAGGAGTAGTGTTCTCTATCCTAAGTGGATTTTATTTTGAGGAATGAGAATGGAAGGTGGTAGAGCACACAGTAATTTTTTCTTAGCGAGGATTACCCTTTGTTTGTCTGGACACTTTATCTCCAAGATTCCCTCTTTTCAGACTTCCAGAGGGCTCCTGTGGCCTCCCGCTCAGAGGGTCACCTCCTTCTCGTTCTGAGGTTCCCCCAGCCTGCAGGCAGCAGCAGTCTTGCCTGGCCTGGCCCCTTGGCCCTCACCTTGTTGTAGAGCTTCCACCAGCCCCAGAAACGCAGCTGCAGGAACTTGCGCACGTTCCGCTGAATGACTTTCAGGCCTATTCTGCAACAACAACAAGTCCAGGGTTGCAAAGGTTAAACGAAGGTGTCAGGGCCTGGCTCTCTGAGGAAGGGAAGGTCTACTTTGTTCAGATACAAAATTACTTTCTCAAGAGCCAGCACTGGGGCCAGCAGGTAGTATAGAGGTTAAGGTGACTGGATCCCAAATGGTTGACTGCACAGTTTGAGTCCCAGACCTGGTGGCTTGAAATAGAGACTAGGCACTGTGTGTGCGTGCATGCCCAAAATCCTCAGAGTAAAAGGGAAGGGATTGCAGCATGGTCATCCCCATAGGGGTTGATTTCTCATTTTTTCTCTCTCTCTTTCTTTCTCCCTGTCTCTTTCCAGAGAGTACATGTGCTCTATAGCAAAGTTAAAAAAAAAAAAAAAAAGTCGGCATTGCCTGCATGGTCTGGGGCAGTGAGACTCAGGCTCATCAGATCCATCTTTTGAGCCCAGTCATGCATTAAGAAAACTGAGGTAGAAAATAAGGGATCGGGTCCCTCCCAGATGGCAGGAATCAGAGACAGACCACTCATTTACTCCAGCATTCTCCTTCTGTTCATTTTCTCACCAGAAATTACCCATTAGTCTCCAAATCTTGCCAATCTGCAATCTCTGGATTCTGCCTTGTTTTTGTCCCTAGCAGTTTTTCCTGCCTCCTGTGTATGGGAGGCCTTGGGCCAGATTGGATTCCTCCATTCGGCCCCTAGCTAGTGAACCTGCCTTCATTTGGAGGTCATGGAGGACCTGCTGGTAGGTAGCAGAAATTCATCACTAACATTAGGACCACAAAACACCTGAGTCACAGGTCAGTGAGGATGGACCCAGAAAGTTTTGAATGACCATGTTAGGGAGTGGCTGAAAAATGTGATACCAAAGGCAGGAATTTGGAGGGAGAATTACTGAGTTTTAATCCTGACTCTGCATAAACCTTGCCCAATTCCTTAGTTCTTCTGACCTCAGTTTCTACATCTGTAAAATGGGAGTGCTGTCTCTACCACACCCCCCTCAGTGTCATCCTATGGACAAAGTAAAGGGAGGGCTGTGAAAGTGATTTGGAAACTATAAAGAGAAGGGTTTATATTGGTTATATAAAGATTTATGTTGGCCCTTGTTAAGGGATGAATTGTTTTTACCAAAAGATAAATTGAAGTCCTAACCGCCAATACCTGTCAGTGAGACCTTATTTGGAAACAGGGTTGCTACAGATGTAATTAGTTAAGATAAGGTCATACTGGAGTAAGCCGGGTCCTTAGTCCAATATGACTGATACCATAAAAAGAGGGATGATCCGAAGACAGATACAGGGAGAAGTCCATGTGAAGACAGACACAGAGATAGGAGTGATATATCTACAAGCCAAGGAGCACCTGGGGCTACCAGGACTGGCAGAGGCCAGGAAGGATCTTTCCTAGAGGCTTCAGAGGGAGCATGGCCCTGCCAGTCCTTTGACTTTGGACTTCTACCTTTGAGAACTGAGAGAACAAATTCCTGTTGTTTGAAGCCTCCCAATGTGTGATACTTTGTTATGGCAGCCCCAGGAGGCTGATAGAGCCCCAAACAGGGTTCTTTGGGCCAGTGAAGACATTGATGTCCATCCCTCATCCCACTACATTGTGTAGCTAATGGAGTGTGTGCGTGCGTGTGTGTGTATGTGTGCGGGGTTTCCATAGACCTGCCCCATCCGTGTTTGTGAGGGCTACCTTCGTTCAAGCATCTTCTTGAACTCAACCCTCATGAGGAATCCCCGGAGCCGACACTGAAGCATCGTCATGATCTTGGCCAGACGCTCGTCCCTCATGTCCTCGAGCTTGGCCAGAATGCCAGCGCGAAAGAACACCTGGGTAAAAAGGCCATGGTCTGAAAACAACCCAGTTATTACCCAGTGGCAGCCACACTAGGTGTGTGTCATGCATGAAACTTGGAGAGGCAAGGGATCTGCTCTAAGCTGCACAAAGGCAGGCTTTGAGCCTGACACTCTTGACTGCAAAGCCAGTGCTTCTCTCACGTCACCCTGACTGTAATGTTGGGGTATTGTCTTTTGGGGCAGCCACAGATGGACACCTTGCACCACTAGTCTGGCTAGTCCCTATGGTCTAGATAGAACTCTGAAGGGCCAGGAAATAGGATAGACATAGTGCAACCCAGACCCTGTGAGTCAGGATCAGAAGGCTGCTCTGTCTGAGTCAGCCCCGACTCACCTGCCAGCTCAGGGTTCAAGGCTTACTTTGTGAGCTTCATTCAGTTGTAACACTTCATTGCCAGTCCTGCCCACACATACCACCCTATTGGGCTAGATGCTGGACCTTGATTTTATTTAGCTCTTTTTATTCTTAGAAACTTAGGGCTGATGCAGTACTAAGGAATGTTCTATAATTGAATGAGTACCACAAAGTACTGAGCTGGTTCTATACCTGTTGCCACTAGTTATCTCAGATCCTGTGAGACTGGCATTACCATCCTTAACTTTGCAGAGGAGGAAACTGAAACTCTCAGCAGTTGAGGGACTTGCACAAGGCAGGTGACTGGTCAGTCACTGAGCTGGAATTTACACCCCAAGCCTGCCTTCCTGGGACAAGGCTGAGTGGGTATAGGGAGGGAGCACGCACCAGAAGACCCTACCTTGGTATGTCCGATTTTGTAATCATTCACGTCCAAATCAATGGACCCAAGGAGCAGCTCTGAAGCTTTCTTGTTGTCCACAAAGCCCTGGGGAATCACGTTAGGGTTCAGTACTTGGTACCTGGTAGAAGAGAGATTACTGGCAGTCATCATCATACCCAGGTTGGCAGCATACAAAGTTCATTCACACAGTTACCTATTGATATATATATACATATGTGTATGTGTGTGTGTATATGCATATACACATACACATGTAATATGTATATTATATAATCTATACCGATCAACATATACACATATGTATACATACATATATAATGTGTACACGTTATATACACACTATACACATGTGTAATATGTATATATTTTATTTATATATATATATGTGTATATATATATATATATATATACACATATATATATATATTTTAGAGAGAGATTTTTGCTATAGGGTACATGCACTTTGCCAGAGATAGAGAGACCCAAAGCAAGAAATCACCCTCCTGGAGGGATAGTCATGCCACAACCTCTTCTTCTCCATTCTTCTCTAGGAATTTTGGACATGTGCACACACATGTCCAGCTTGAGTTTCAAGGTTCTGGGTCTGGTTCAACCTCTGGGTCTGGGACTCAAACCGTGGTTGATCATATGGGAATCCAGTGATGTAGCCATTACACTATCTGCTTGTCCTTCATTGATATACTTTTTTGAAGAGTTTATTTATTGGGGCCAGCAGGTGGCATGGTGTTTGAAGTGCTAGACTCCCAAATGGCCAACCGTGGTTCAAATCCCAGACCTGGTGGCTTGAGAATCACATGGGGGGATGTGTGTGCATGACCAAAATCCCAGGAGGAGAATGAAGGAGATGGGATTGTGTCATGGCCATCCACCCTGGGGAGTGATTTCTCACTTTCCCTCTCACAGTCTCTCTGTTTTTCTCTGTGAATGCATATAGCACATGGCAAACAAACAAACAAACAAACTAAAAAAAAAAGTTTATTTACTTCTCCTATGAGCAAGAGAAAGAGAAATAGTCACATCCAATTGGGTTTTTTTTTTTTTGAGAGGTTTTTGCTATAGGGAGTGTGCGCTCGGCAGCCAGAGAGAGACGTAGAGACAGAAAGTGAGAAATCACCCCCCAGGGGGGATGGTCATGCTGCAATCCCCTCTCCTCCATTCTCCTCTCAGGATCTTGGGCACGCATGCAAACGCGCCCGGCGTGAGTTTTAAGCCACCGGGTCCGGGACGTGAACCGCGGTCGACTGCGTGGGTGTCCAGCGACATAGCCATTACGCTAACTGCTGGTTCCCCAATTGGGTTTTTATGCTGTGATCCACCCTTAGCCCCAGTCAGCTGGGGTCATGGGCACATGAATGTCCAATGTTTTCAGGGAGGTCTTGGAACACAAGCTGAGAACCTTCCCATGTGAGTCAGCCTTGTAGAGCATTGTTACTGCTACACCACCATTCATACCGTATTCACTGTTCTTTGTCTTCTTTAAGACAAGAAGTAGACTTTACAGATGCCCAAGGTTGACAGAGAGATAAAATTGATAGGAAGCTTCGGGGCAAGGGCTACACCTTGGGAGTGAATGTTGGTGTGGATTGGGGGGGTTCAGGGAAGATATCTTCTTAGTAACAAAGAAACCATGACCCTCTCCTTTTTGACTGAGCATGGAGTAGAGAAGAGAGCACTGACCCAGACATAGGAAAATAGCTTCTTTTCCTGACCAGCCCACTTTGAGATCTTAGACAAGTCTTTCCTGATCCATCAATTGGAGGTAATAATGGTCTAGCAACTGAGGGGTGGGTAGAAAATCCTCTCTAAGGAGGGGGTCTTAGTTCTAGAAGCAGACTCTGAGACAAGGATTTGAGTACAAGTAGTTTATCTCGGAGGTGGAAGAGCTGAAAGTGGGCAGAGGGCAAATAGAAAGCATGTTATCAAAGCAACTAGAGCTTGATACTCTTGGGGAACACTGGGAGCAGGGGAGGGAGTATTTACACTATGAAGACTGGCAGATACCACCAATTAGAGGTTTTTTTAAAAAAAATTTTCCCCCCAACCTGGAGACCCCTTTGAAACATTTACCAGCACACTGTTGTCTGAGCAAGTATAGAGAATGCCTCAGAGTTAGCCACCAGAAATGTGAGGAAGCTGAAATCTCTACAGAAACCTCTACAGTAATGACCTCATAGGTTGAGGGCTACTTTTGGAGAGATGTTAATTCCTGGGGATTTCAGTCTGCCAAGGAGGGGCAAAGCTAGCTTTAGCAGCCAAAGAAATGTGGGAGCTGGCAGTTAAAAATTGGGCCAACATGCATTAAAGCGTTGACAATGAGGCAAAATTGGTAAGATACTCATATGTCAGCTGCACTGGGGCTTTACTCACCAGCTGGTTAATCCCTGCAAGACTGAGCACTGTGCTCAAGAGACTAGGAAATACCACTCACCTCTGTTTGAACTCTGGATACTGCAGCCTGTTTGGGAAGCCCTTCCTGCAAATACGAATGCCTTCCAGGACACCGTTGCAAGCCAGCTGGTGCATAATCAGGTGGGCATCTACCACACCTACAGAGGGAGGGGACAGGATGGAAAGTTACCATGCTGGAGTGGGACAAGCCAGTCCTTGCCACTCAAGAAGATTGAGCTGGACCAGCGGTTAGCGTGATGGCTATGTTGCTGGACTCCCACATAGTCAACTGTGGTTCACGTCTCAGACCCGGTGGCTTAAAACTCATGCCGGGTGCGTGTGTGCCCAAGATCCCGAGAGAATGGAGGAGAAGGGATTGTGGTGTGGTCATCCCCCCTGGGGGGTAATTTCTCACTTTCTGTCTCTCTGTCTCTCTCTGTCTGTCTGGCAAGCGCATGCGCCCTATAGCAAAAACCTCTCAAAAAAAAAAAAAAAAGATTGAACTGAACATCTGTGCCATTAACCCCCATCTTGTCATTTCTCAGAGGGCCCCAGGTTCTCTACAACTTGGTCAGTGCCCAGAGGCTCTCCTGAATGTGATTTATGGCTAGATAAGCATCACTCAGCTTTATAAAGAGGCCAGAACATTGTCTGGGGAGATGCCCCATTGTTGGGGATTTTCTCAGAGCCTTATTTGGCCCCCATCAGTCCTGGTGGTTAAAGGTGGATTAAATCTGGAATAAATACTAACTTTGAAGACCTTCAGGACTTCCCAGTAGAGATGTAGACCTCATAATGTACCTGATTGTTTAAACTCATTGGGGACGATACAGCGGACAAAATGGGGGGCAGTGCTGTGTAGGGTAGTCATCAGCTTATTCAGCTGCTCCTGGAGATGGAGAAAAAAGGAAAAAGAGCACTGATGTTGGAGGATACTCATGCTAGGAGGGGTACTTATTTAGAGTTTAAATGATTAACATTAAATTATACTTCAATGCTTCAGTCACAGCAGTCACTTTTCAAGTACTTACTAGCTATACATAGCTAGTGGCTACTATATTGGATGGCACAGAAGAGAGCATTTCCATCATTTCAGAAAGCTGGACAGCCCTGCTCTTAAATTCCAGTAACTTGCCCAATGTGTCATGGTTTACAGAAGTGGGGCTCCTTCTGATTCAGTCATCATCTATCATAAATCTCAGTAACAGAGAAACCATAGGGTCTATGTGGACAAATCCCTGTCCACTATTAATCTTTCTATGGGTGGGTCTTTCTCCTCAGCTTGGATACCTCCAATGAAGTGGCCCACTCTGCCTTGGGATAGCTTAATCCTTGGGGAGTATTGAAATATTCTATTGTATAACATCCTCTTATTGGCTACACTTCACTTTGGAGGGTGTTTCTAGTAATGTCCAACCTTTGTGCAAGTTTTGACCAGCCCAGAAGACCTGTCAGCTAAGGACACAAGATCTTTGGCATTGATATCTCAGTTTGCATACTGCACAAGTCTCTTTTCTCTCTCAACCCAAAATGACACAGCTGTATTGGAACTTCCCTAGGATCTTTCCTGCATGTTGGTCTAGTGATTCAGTGACCTTCAGAATGAAACAGACTTCTCAAATAAAGAGGAGATAATATATTGGGTTTCCAGAAAAGTCATGATATGTTTTTCTATGTAAAAATATGTCATGACTTTTCCAATGACTGAATAGAAATGAAGTCATCCCACACTTCACCATGAAGTGATAGCCAGACCATCACATCATTGAAAGGGAGGGCTGGAGACACTAGACCCAAGGTAACCTCTGGGGAAGCCCCTACTCACCCTGTAGAAATTGGAAACTGTCATGAAGGAAGATCCTCTCTTCTGCTTCTTGCTTCCAGCTGAGGAAAAAACAAGCACATTTTGTACCAGTAAGTGCTCTATGTCAGAGCACATGTATTCTCTAGTTTTAAAAATGCTTATCTTGGGACAAGATGAGGTAGCACCCTTACACCAGGAAAAATGAGATCTACCAGAAGCAGGGCTGAGCTTGGTATTTGCCTCAGATTGGAGAAAGGGGGAGCAAAAAATAAGCATAAGGCATTTGGGTGTGTTTTCCAAAGAAATGTCACTATAACTAGAGGTGGTACAGGCCCAGTAATCAATTCAGTTGATGGAAACTCCCAAAAGTCCACATCCATTTATCACAGTGTCATCCATGGCCTGCCTTAAACCATTGTCATTCATTCATCCATTCATCTATTCACTCATTCACCTTAAAAGAGTTAAGTAAGAGCTTTGTCTCCTTCCCACTTTGACCTCTAAAGGGTATCAGTACAGGGAGACTGGACACCACAAGGGCTCAGCCATACCTGGAGCCTCCTCTTCTTTGAAGAGAAGGGCCAAGATTCCGAGGGTTGATTTCTGGAACAAGCCCACCACTGTTTCATTTAAGGGGTCTTTGTTCTTCTCCAGCCAGCCTGTGATATTGTAACCCACCTGTAAAAGGAAAGATTGTAAGTGGGTAAATTTTAGGTGCAGCATTCCCTTTTCAGGAACCACAGCTAGAACCTATACCTACAGTTCTGCTCTGCTGTGGTCTCCCAGGACTAACCTTCAGGTCTATCTCCTGGGGCTTTAGCACTTGTCCAGATAACTTTCCTGGTGTCCTGGGATGTCCCTGAACGCCAGTCTGAGTTGGAGTCCCCGTCATCTGCTTTCTTAGTCATTTACAATTTGCCAGCATATAATACCCTGTCTCTGAGATTTGCTCATAAGCCAGGACTCCCTGGCCACTATCTCCTGAGCTGCAACCTTATCTTACATAGCTTGTTCTGCTGGCCATATTGAGCCCCACTGATCCTTGGGTCTTCTTTCCTAGTGGGCTTGCTGTCAGTGACAGGTAGAGTCCTAAGCTACATAAAAAAATCTTTATAAGAATTTCTGGTCTTTCCTTGCTGAGGAATACATAACCATTCTTACGATACTGCAGAGTCAGTGCCTAGTAGAAGTGGGGGTGCTCTGTTCATCCAGGACGGGGTCTGCATGTATCGAGGTAATTGGACATGATCTAATTTCTATTCCCCATTTATTCATCCAGGACGGGGTCTGCATGTATCAAGGTAATTGGACATGCTCTAATTTCTATTCCCCATTTCACCATGTGGCCCCAGTTGGATGGGTAAGGAGGAAGGGACCTTTTAGATCCTTCCACTGGGCACAGAGAACTGAGAAAAGTTGATAGAAAGCCAAAAACAGGGTTTTCCATCTCCTACACAGCGTAGACATTCATCATTTCTGTGCCTTATTTGAGGAAGTGTACAGGTCCCATTTGACTTTGAATATTCTATTTCTATAAATGTGGGCTTTTCTCATCTCAGTGTGAGAAGAACAGAGTGCTGCAATTTGGCCTCAAACCTGCTGTTTGCTCTAAGTACTGGCCAATCAATTTTGTGAGTAATTGGCGTTGTTATGGTTGATGATGTCATAAAATCTTGACTCCAATGCCCAGTGCAATTGTGGCTTTCCTGACAGCCCTGTCCTAAGGCTGTTGTTTCCCTGCAGTTAAACCCATGGAGTCTCAACAAAGTCTGTTGGAAATAGGAGTAATGGCGCTTAACGGCAACATTGAATTCTCAAGGAACCAAATGCATTCTTATAAGCTCGCTGGTTGAGTGTTACTTACTATTAATTATACAAATAGAATCTAAGCCCTAGCTGCACTTAATTTCCTTTTCTCCTAATTTGTCATGAGTGAAAAAGTTACTCCATAGATGTCATTAGCTGTCAGAGGCACTAGTTTGTTCAGGTGGAAGCAATTAATAGGCGCATGAATTTTTTTCTCTTTTTCAAAGTATTGTTGTTTCTGGCCAAGACTGAAGTTCAGCCATCAAACTGAGGGCCATAGATAATGGCATAGGCCTGACAGTTCAGATGGCAGGAACTCTCTAACGGACATCGTCGGCTGCATTGCTTTGGAATTCTCAGATGGAAAAGTAATGAGCAAGTATGAGCCAGAGTTTATTTCAATTGTCTTTTCACCGTGTTATACCATGGCTGTGCTAGTTGGAGGCAGAAAGCCCTGGTGGGGCATGTCAGAGTGGGCCAACAATAGAGGGAGTGGAAAGCTGCCAGCAGGTGGCCACAAAGGGTGAGACTTACGGTGCCTGCATAGTGGACGAGCTCGAAGTGGGCCTCAGGTCCCTTCCCCTTGCCCCCTTTGGGCTTGAGGAAGTTGCTAGATTTGCCCAAGTGGTTGTCATACAGGGCTGCCTTGAACGTGGCATCTGTGGCTTTGGGGAAGACGCACTGTTCCTCCAAGATAGAGAAGATGCCCATGGGCTAAGAGAGAAGAGGACAGAATGGTATTAAAGGAGGCTGAAAAACCTAAAAGGGCCATACTGGCACTGGGCCTAGAACTGGTGGTAGAGATGCAGCAGGCACTCTTGTGGCCAGCCACAACTGGCAGGACTCTGGGCAGTGAGCTCTGGGATCAGTGCCTGACATTCCAGGGCCTCGTCTTCAAATGCCAGGCCTATTAAGACTTAAAAGAGGCTAGACTTCATTGAGCTCAAGAGAAGGGAAGACAGATATGAAGGGGTCAGATTGCTTCTTAAATGGTATTCCTATGAAACCGTGGCCTTGGGGCCAGCAGGTGGCATGGTGGTTAAAGGTGCTGGATTCCCACATGGCTGACCATGATTTGAGTCCTGGACCTGCCAGATTTCTTTCTCCCTTTCTGTTTCTCTCTCTCTCTGGTCAAATTAAAAACAAAACAAAACAAAACAAACAAACAAAAAAATAGTGGCCTTGGGCAAATTTGACCTTCAGAAAAAATGGTGAAGTCAGTGACATCTGTCCTCTCTGTTTTTAACTCTCTTTTATGTGCTGTTCTCCACTGGTCTTCCCTGGAGCCTCATGCTGTTCTAGGTCTCTTCTCATATAAAAAATGGGAAGCTCATGGGTGCTATTAGTAGCTTAATATGCCTCCTATCCATGGAGAGGCTGGATTTTAAAAGACTTCTAGAAGAGGGTAATACTTAACCCCAAAGTCAAGAATGAGAAATTTCAGACTCTGGGACAACTGGACAGGAAGGGTAGATAGTAGGGACAGGGAGGGCATGCAGATAGTCTGCTTTATTTATTTATTTATTTATTTATTTATTTATTTTTCTTTCTTTCTTTTTTTCTTTTTCTTTTTCTTTTTTTTGCTACAGAGTGCATGCACTTTCCAGATAAAGAAAGAGAGGGGAAGTGAAAGGCCACCCCGCCCCCCCTCAGGAGAGAGGACATTCCCTTCTCCTCTAGTCTCCTCTTGGGATTTTGGGCATGTACACACACACACACCCAGTGTATTTTTTATGCCTCCCGATTGGAACTTGGACTGCACACTCAGCTATTTGGGATCCAGATGCCTTAGCCACCACACCACCTGGCTGGTCCCTCTTTTTTTTTAACTTTTCACATTAAAACAATTTCAGACTTGCAGAAATACTGCAAAAATAGTGCAAAGGTTTCCCATACATCCTTTGCCCAACTTTTAAAGTTGTTAATATAATCACTGTATGTGCAATACCTAGAGTCAAGAATTAACCAATCTAACACCATGAACAGGCTTTGTTCAAATTTTATCTTCTGTCCTGTTAATGTTCTTTTTCTATCCTTTTTCTGTATAGAATCAAACAATACATATTATTGAACTAGACCTTCCATGTGTTGTGATTATAGGTAAAACTATCATGCTGCCCATGTTAGAGCTTGGCTCTACCATTCTTAGGCTGTGGTACTTTGGACAAGTGACTTCTGTTCTCTGTTCTTCAATGTTCCTATCTGTGAAATGGGTGTAATAAAAGTAACCCCTTCTTGTAGCAGGTTGTGATGATCAGTCACTATTGTACAAACCACCCTGATTTGTAGTATTTGCCATTGTGCGGAAGGGGAAGTGGAAGTCAAATCAATCAATGTGGTCAGTGGTGTGGGCGACTACCCAGGTTACCTTTTCCAGGAGGTCGATGCAGGCCTGCAGGTCAAGACCAAAGTCAATGAAGACCCACTCTATGCCCTCCCTCTTGTACTCTTCCTGCTCCAGCACGAACATGTGGTGGTTGAAGAACTGCTGCAGCTTCTCATTGGTGAAATTGATGCATAGCTGCTCAAAGCTGTTGAACTGTGGTACCAGGAAGACAGAAGGAGGCATCAGTACAGGCACAGAGAGCGTCTCTGCCAGGACAGAATGAGGAAACCACTTGGATGGTGAAAATCTGCCAAGGGTTCAGAGTATTAGGCATATAACCAAGTGCCTTAACATTGTCCATTTGGTCAATGGACCCATCAGCCCTGTGAGAAGTGATGCTTCATTACCCTTCCCTGCAGAGGCAGAGTAGTTTAACACATGCCTTGAGTCATACAATAGTGATACTGGGGCCAGAAACCCAGGCAGCCAGACTCCAGCCTTGTGGAGTGAATGAAATTCATTGTGGAAAGAACCATTTTCTTTCCAAGGATGGAAATCACTTGAAATGCTTTATGGATCTGACATGCTGTATGCCTGTAGGCAGCTTTCCTCTCTCTCTCTGTAGTTTTTCCTCAGTCTCATCTGTAGGGTAAAGGAATTTGAGGGATTTACAGGCTCTTTTTTTCGCTAAAGAAGATGTAGAGGGTTACCAGTAATGTACTGGTCAATCAGCTTTCTTTCTCAAAACAAAGTAAAACAAAACCACCCTGATTTGTAGTATTTGCCAAATTGCCATAGTATGAATTGATACCACTCCTTCTACCCATTAAATGCACACCATTATTTGTGACTTGGCACCATGTAAATGAAGATGGAAATTTCTGGAGTTCAAAACTCAGAGATCCAGTGGTAAACAGATTGGATTGATCTGCCCCAAGACCAAGATGAGAAACAAGAGAATCATGGTGGAAAGTAGCTTATAGAAGGAGGACAGCCACTGCCAAAGCAGAAACCAAACATGAACCCAGGCACACCTCAAAGATCTCGAAGCCAGCAATGTCCAGTACTCCAATGAAGAACTGCCGCTGCATCTTGGTGTCCAAGGTTTTGTTAATCCTCACCACCAGCCACTTGAACATCTTGTCATAGACGGCTTTGCCCAGAGCACCGATTGAGTTGTTGCACTGTTCCATATTCTGGCCCTTTTGCACGAATTCATTGCCTACTTTGACTCGAGGCCTGGTGATACCCTTTTGGAGTTCACCGGAATTGAGACCCATGAGATGGGCGACTTTGTCAGCCACTGAGAAGGAATGGAAAGAACAGATGAGTGACAGAAAGGTAGTGCCATGCCAGGGAGTGACCCAGCACCATCTATCATGGTCTGGAAAGGGGGTAAAAGAGAGAGTAGCAGAGACCCCATTTTTCCAATAAGAAAAAGATCAAGGTAACTTCTACATTTGTTTAAGGGGTAAAGCAGGATACCATGTCTCCATTGTCCCTCTCTGAGCATACTGATGTCTGAACATCCCCCATCCTCGGTTTATGGCAACTAGAGAATCTGAAAATACCTGGCATGATTCTGAAATGGTCACAAAGCCTCAGAAAGAAGGGCCCTGCCACCACTGCCTCATCCCTGAACAGCCCCAGCCCCAAACCTACCCTCGGTGGTGTCCACTTCAGCTTGCTCTTCTCTGGGTTTCTGCTTGAACTTCATGTTTCCAAAGTGCATGATGCCCCCAGTCAGCTTATAGACACCAATCTTCTCCTCAGCACTGAAGCCTAGCACATCAAAGGCAACCTGCGAAGCAATAGGGAAGAGAAAGGCAAGAGACTCCTAGCTTCTTATTCCACATAGTGGAGGCCACAGGACTACCACTGTGGGGCTGTACCAATGGGCCACTGCGGCTGGGTATGTACTCTGGAGTCAGGCACATTCTCAACAGGGAAAGGTCTGCTTTCTTTTCCAAGGAGCCCAGCCAGATAAACAACACTATAGTCATTTTATTTATTTAACCTCTCTTTCCTTTGTTTAGCCATCTGCAAAATGTGGATAGTAGACACAACACTATAGTAATTTTATTTATTTAACCTCTCTGGCCTCTGTTTAGCCATCTGCAAAATGTGGATAGTAGGTGACAGTTTTTCCTACTATCTGATAGATTTAGTGCTTGATACATAGTAAGTGCCCAATATAGGGAAGCATTATTATTATTATGGCTTTACTTAAAAAAATTCATGGAAAAACAAAATTAAAGTATGAGTTTATTTTGGTGCAAATAAAACAAAACACCTTAAAATTCATGCACAGATTTTCATAATACACATTTTCCACAAACTTTCTGAAGACCCTGATATTATCATTGTTATTGTTAAAGCTACAGGCTAGGTACTGGGAGTGGGGAAAGCAAAGATGAATCAGGAATCAATCTGTCCCTGAAAGGAGAGAAGGCGTCAAACACAAATACTCTTAATGGAAGTCACAAGTGCTCACTGTCATAAGAGAAGGAGGCTAAGTGTGCAATGAAGACAGGGAAGACAAGGGAGTCATTTTCTGCTGGGCTGACGAAGAAAAGTTTTACGTGGGGCAGCTGGCCCCTGAAGTTCTTGTGGAATTCTATATCACCTCCAAAAAGAAAAATTATGATTGCTACAATAGACTTGGGATAAATGCCAACTGCAGCCCCAGAATTCTCCAAGGAAGAATCTGGGTCTCTGCGTGGCAGCTCTGAGCAGGCTCCCATCCCACCCTGTCCAGGTCCTCCCTGCCCTGCACCAGCCATGCCCATTCACTCACATCTGTGATCTGCAGCTCCTCCCCGTCGTCCATGTTATCTACCACGGTGACACCCTGGCTCACCCAGTGGTACTCCTTAGGGTTGGGGACCAGCAGTAAACTTTCTGTCAAGAGCACAAAACCAAACACAGCCTGGTGACCTGTGGTTTTCTTCTCTTTCACTTCTAGCCAACATTTTAACCAAAGTAGATTCAGAAGAACCACTAAGTGCATCTTACATGCCAGACAGGATGATGGGCATCCTGAGGGTGGCAGAGCTGAATAAGACATGGACTCTGGCCTCTAGGATCACCCAGAGTCACAAAGGGACTCAAATGAAATCCTATAAGATTTAGGTTGGTGACAAGGTCACAGTGATTTGGCTGTGTGATCTGATCCTTGGCTTAGTACCTGGAACCTAGTCAGAGCTACTTGGAGAATAAATGAATTATTATTCTCCCTCCTCTCTCTTGTAAAGAACGAGTCATACTTTAATGCAGAAGGTAACACAATGCTGCAATGGGCAATACAATCACTTGCATGTAGTATGAATGAGAATGTTGACGCTTTTTACAAAGAAATATGCTCACTCCCATTTTTCTTCAGATGTGCTCCTGTCTTGGTCTTTTTTATTTTTATTTTTTTTCACTTTTGGAAGAGACATGGATACAAAAAATGTTTTCCTTTCATTTTATCTTTGCTATAGAGAAAAATTACAGTTCAAGAAAGAAGATCAATAGTAGCTACTACTCTCTGTCACTGTCAAGGAGGCAATAGGGCTTGGTGGGGAGTATGGTGAACAAGAGAGCTTGAGCTCAGGACCAGCAGATGGCATAATGGTTACATCGTTGGGCTCCCACATGGCCTACTATGGTTCGAGTCCTGGACTTGATGGCTTGAAACTCACTCTGGGTGCGTGTGTACGTGCGTGCATGTGTGTGCACCCAAAATCCTAAGAGGAGAATGGAAGAGAAAGGATTGTGGCATAGCCTTCTCTCTGGGACGAGGGGGAGGGTGTAATTTCTCACTTTCTGTCTCTCTGGCAAGCACACATGCCCTGTAGTAAAAATCTCTCTCAGAGAGAGAGAGAGAGAGACAGAAAGCTTGAATTCTAGCCAGAGGGATCACCACCACTCAGCTACTCTGATTCGTGATACCAGAGGGCAGACTCAGAAGTGCTGGCTCTTCTGCTACACTAAGAAGTTAGGAAACTGGATTTTTATGTGAAGTCAATCTATTAATTTAAAAGTATACCACATCCAACCAAAATAAAACCCACTAGTAGGTGGGGGATGGTGCCCAATGCCCTCATATCTGCCTGGGTTAGGAGGTATATGTGTGGGAGATCAAGTCTTCATTCTCTTCCTACCTTATGTCCTTATGACCTGAGCAGGTCTGCCATGGACAGTTGAGCATATTGTGCCTGTACAAGGATGTTCAGTTGAGTAGGTGAGTGTACTCTTCTCTAAGCTGTGCACCAGTGTAGGCTATGTCCTCCCATCCCCCCCAGAGGAAAACCTGCTGTTACTGTGCATGTAAGCACTGGCAGGGCCATCTGTGGGCATCGGCTGACCCCCCTGTGCATCTGAGTGTCAGGCTCAGAGGATCTAAAGCCTCATATCCCAGGTCCATGTCTCAGGCATGACAAAGCTCCATCTGTGAAATGAGCCCACCGTGCTGTTATTCCTCATATGGCTGTTGTGAGGATGAGATGTGTAAGCAGAATTTTGAAAAAGTTCCCTGTGATCCATCCATAAATCTTTAAACCAAAAGGGTTATCACAGAACCACAGGGATGACAGGAGATCCCTCCCACATGGGAAATCTTTTGTCATGGAAAAGAGAAGAAAAGCGAGTTCAGGGCAAACACACAGACATAAAGATCTTTACCAACAAGCTCAGGCTTCTTGTTAGAGAGGATCTGGTAGAAAATATGGTAGCCTCTCTCAGCTGCTTGCTGTGAGATGACACGGGATTTCTCTAAGAGATCTGCAAAAGAATAAGCAAAGATACTGGTAGGTATAGATCCATTCTACCTGGAGTTCAGAGTTCCATGAAAAGCAGGACTCCCCTCCCCATGGAGCTCAGTGCAATTGACAGTGGTGGGCCCCATTATTCCCTCTTTCCGACAGAAGACCTCAGGGAGGCCGGACTGCCAATGAGGGGAGCTGGGAGCAGGGCTGGCCTCCAGGGCATGGTGACAGGCTACCCTCAGAAGAGCCTAGCACTTGGTTTAGTACCTTTCTGTTGCTGCTTTAAGATTATTTTTTAATCTTAATCCCCCCTCCCCCATAGGCATGCGTGCTTGCCAGAGAAGAGAGAGACAGACAGAGGGAAAGTGAGAAATCCTTCCCTCTCAAAGGGGATGGCCCCACTGCAATCCCTTCCTCTCCACTCCAAAATTTTTAATATTTTTTGAATAAAGTTCCCTCACTTTAATTCTGTTCTGGGCCCCCAAAATTATGTAGCTTGTCTAGCCCAGATGAGCCCTCCAAAAGGGGCCTGACTTACAGCTCTCGATGTCGGCTCCAGCCAGTTTGCCTGTGGTTCCAAAGTGGATTCGGATGAACTTGCCCTGAGCAGGAAAGAAAAAGGAGGGGTCTGGTGGGAGGTTGCCCATAGCTTTAGAGCAATATGTGGCTCAGACAGACATGGCCAAGGGCTGCTTGTAGACAGCCCCCATGAATTCAAAGAGGGCTGCATGGGATATAACCAGGCCCAACAGCACCAGAGGATTTCCCAGGAAAATAGGTAGAGAAGGAGATAGATAGGTCTCGTAACTAAATCTAGGATCTGTGGTTTGGAACATCTGTAGGGGAGAGGTGTGCTTATCAGGAGGAGCTGGGAGTTGGAATTCTGCTAAGAGGCAGGGCATTGTGGGAATTTGGCCAGGCAGCCAGATGGTAGGGAGCACCTTACCAAGTCTCCTTATCAAGAGACATTTCATTCTACTCCCTAGCTTGTGGCAGAGCCACAAATACCCATCTTAGCTACTTCTGGGCCTGTTTGCCCTCACTTGTGTTCTTTACCTGCCCCAACCTCTGCCAGGCCCCATCCCAGGCTCCCCTGGCAGCCCTCTGGGCTCAGCCAGTGAGAGGCCCTAGAAGAGACCAGGGAGTCAAAAGGAAAAGGCCAAAGCATCGGTCTTCCTTGGACAGAGGCTTGGGTAGTGCTGAATTCCTGCAGTGATCTCAGGTCCCACTAGATGTCTGCATTGGGTTCAGAACCCACCAAGGCTCTAGAGACAGCACTGTTCCAACATCCCTCCAGGCTATAAGGTACCACAACTTTCTGCTCCTTGGACTTTCTGGTGCCCCTGTGTAACTTCTCAGCACCACCATCACCATATTGCAAGTCTCTGCATCAAAGTCCTTTGGTGTAAGTTAAACTAAAGTGGGTTTTGTTTGCCATTCAGACCCTTATTTATACTCCTTAAAAGTATAAGGGGCCAGCTCCACGGCACAGTAGTAATCCACTCCTCAAAAGAAGACAGATCCCACATATCTCAGCCCGATCAGCCTGAAACACACTGGGCACATGTGCAAGTGCCCAAGATCTGTCAGGCTGGAGGAGACTGTAGGAAGAGTATCACAGTCCAACTGGATGTTGTGAAGAGTGCTTCTCTCTCACTATTCTCTCTCACTCTCATTCACATGTATACATGCTTATAAATCAAGATCTATATGTATATATATATATGTATATATTTAATTGCTGAGAGGGAGATGCCTTAGCTTGCCTGTCCTCTTCACCTTAGTTTAAATCAGCCTCAATTCTCTTACCTGAAATGGGGCCATGACACCTGTTTTACCACCCCTGGGGGCTGCTATTGCCATGCTCACACTTACGAAGCGAGAGGAGTTGTTGTTCCTGGTGGTCTTGGCATTTCCGAAGGCCTCCAGCACAGGGTATTGCTGAGAGGGAGATGCCTTAGCTTGCCTGTCCTCTTCACCTTAGTTTAAATCAGCCTCAATTCTCTTACCTGAAATGGGGCCATGACACCTGTTTTACCACCCCTGGGGGCTGCTATTGCCATGCTCACACTTACGAAGCGAGAGGAGTTGTTGTTCCTGGTGGTCTTGGCATTTCCGAAGGCCTCCAGCACAGGGTTTGCCTGGATGATTTGATCCTCCAGGGACCCCTGACCAGAAAGAAACACCAGTTGGCTGCTGCCTAACAATCCAGGGCTAAGGAACTAGACTTGACAATGACAGTGGTTTGCATGCCAGGAATCCAAGAGGGATATGGCCTTGGGGAGATTGGGAAGTCAGAGCTGGATGAGCCTCATGTAGTGACCTGGGAGGAGGGCCACTGTCTGTCCTTTTACAGCCCCATGACACCAAGAGGGGTACCTGGGGACATTGGCAGCCACTCTGCCTTGATTCTCAGCTATTGCTTCCTCACTTTGCTGTTGGTGGAGAGACCCCTGAGGGAGCCTGAAAACCCTCCCCATGCATCCTTGGTCTTCCTCTGAAGCTCCTCTTTTCTCTTTGTCAGCTTTTGCAGCTGCTGCTGGCCCAGCTAATGCTCCTCATGCTTCTGGGGTGCCTAGGGCCTATGGAAGCAGCTTAATGAAGAGCCCACTTTCATGTTTCTCCTCTGCCAAGCACATGTGGTTTTGCCACTTGTCTTTCTGGGGCATATGTGGCCTGAGACAGTCAAACCAATCCAGTCGTAGGAGACCCTGGTCTACAGCCACCTTCTGCCTGTGTGACCTAACCAAGTTGCTTCTCTCTAGGCCTTAGTCTCATCATCTATAAAATGGCCCTGATCCACAGACTGCCTGTGAGGGAGAATGGGTTCTGCTGTGTGAGCCACAGAAGATGAGAAACAGACCCTGAGTTCACCCACCCAAACGGCCCTACCTTCTTATCCGAGGACTGCTTGCCAGTTCCTCCGATGTTGGCAAAATACTGGATGACCTTCTTCGTGTTCTCAGTCTTGCCAGCACCAGATTCTCCACTGCAGGTGGGTCATGGAAGTGGACAAGAGAAGCAGGAAGTGTGTGTGTGTATGGGGGGGGGGAATTGGCCGCAGACAAAGAAAGCAAACAAAAGCTACAAGTTTCTATTTACATTTCTCCACCTAGATCCTGGACAGAGGGGCAGGTGGCCATGCCTTGGGGACATTAGTGTCCTCCCCAGGCATTTAGCAGGAGCAGCCTTACTTGCCCTGCTAAGCCCACTCACTGCCTGTAGAGCTCTGCACAAAGTCTCCCAATTAATTCTAAGAAGGTTTAATTATATGTGTAAGGCACAGACCTAATTATATGTATATAGACTGAGAGACAGAAGAGACACTTACGTGATTAGCATAGACTGATTTTCACGATCTGTAGGGAAGGAAACAGCCACAGGAAGGTGTAATTAGGAAACATTTAGAAAGTAGGATTTGGCACAATCCCACCCAGTCAGCCCTTCCCCAAATTCCACCCACTCAGAGAGGGGCCTCGACCATACTTGAAGGCCAAAAACTCAAAACCCAGGATCCTGTGGGATCTATGCCATGTGCCCATCATTGCAGTGAGGCCCTTGGAGAAAGGGTGAGAATTTTCCAGCCACTCTGTCTCTACCAACCCATTCTCTATGGCCATAAGGCTACCCAGTTGTATGCAGAACAAAATATTAACCTGTCTGGAAAGTCATGATGTATTATTCTATGCAAAAATGCATCATGACTTTCCCAACAACTCAACAAAAGGTAATAAAAATTATTTAATGAAGTGCAGCAAACACTGTACAGGTAATGCTTACAAGTGACTGAGTTCTGAGGAAGTAACTGAATTTGGCATCTGTGGGTTTGTGAAGCTTAAATGAGAGGGCATGGAGTGGGGCTGTGCCTGGCCGGGACATGCACTCAGCACGTGTACCTGATATTTACATCACAAGCACTGGCTGTTACTGCTGCTCAACATTTAACAAAAAATTTCAGCAGGTGGTGCAGGGTCAGGGCTAGGTCTGGGTAGCACATGGTCTTCATGTGTTTAGAGCCACAATGGCAAAGGAAGGCTTATCTCCTGCCACCCCAACCCCAGAAGACCCCACCCTACGCACCCATGAGCATGTCGTGGTAGGCGTTGTCAGAGATGGAGAAGAGGTGTGGCGGCATCTCCGTACGTTTCTTGCCCTTGTACATGTTGGCCACACGGGCCCCATAGATGGGTAGCCACCTATAGGGGTTGACTGTCACACAGAACAAGCCCGAGTAGGTCTGGTAGGAGGGAAGGAAGCTGTTAGCTGGCCCTCTCTTCTGGGCCCTCTTCCCTCAAGTGAGTTCCCTCTGGGTCCCTAGAGCAGGCTGAGAGCAAAACAGACGTCCTGGGAGAAAATCTAAGTGTGCCTGAGTCTTTGGTCATTAAACAAAACAAATCTCTTAATTTTACAGAAGGTCCCTGATTTATAATCTGATTTAGGATTATTTTACTTTAGATGGTGCAAAGCTATACACATTCAGTAGAAATCATGCTTTGAGTACCCATACAAGCATTCTATTTTTCAGTATAGTTTTTTTCTGAGAGAGAGTTCTTTTGCTATAGGGCACATGCACTCGCTGGAGAGACAGAGAGACAGAAAGCGAGAAATCACTCCCCAGGGAGCATGCCCATGCCACAATCCCTTTTCCTCCAATCTCCTTCCGGGATTTTGGGCACGCATGCACACAAATCTGGTGTGAGTTTTAAGCTGCCAAGCCCAGGACTCGAACCGCAGTCGATTATGTGGGAGTCCAGCGACATAACCATTATGCCATCCTCTGGTCCCCTTGGTACAGTATTCAGTGAATTATAGAAGACATACAATACTTCATTATAAAATGGCTTTATGCTAGCTTTTTATTGTTGTTGTTGGGGGGTTGCCTTAGGGCCTGTGCGCTTGCTGGAAGGACAGACAATGAAAGGGAAAGTAAGAAATCACCCCTCAAGACGCATGGCCACACTACAATCCCTTCTCTTTTATTTTCTTCCTGGGATTTTGGGCAAGCATGCACATGTCTCTGCCATGAGTTCAAGCCACTGGATCTAGGACTTGAACTGTGGTCAGCCATGTGGGAGTCCAGCACCTTAACCACTATACCACCTGCTGGCTCCTGTGCCTGATAATTTTGCCCAACTGTGGACTAATAAAAGTGTGCTGAGCAGGTTTAGCTATAATGTTCAGTAATTTAGGTGTACTAAATACAATTTTGGCTTACAATATTTTCATTTTATGATAGACTTGTCCAGACATAACCACATTGTAAGTCAAAGAGCATCTGTATATTTGTTTAATTTTCTTTTGGTTTAATTATTTGAATAGCTAACACAGTGACTGTATAGACATGCACAGAGCAAAAAGTCCCCTCACCTGTTCAGTGCCTACCACTTTCTCCTTCCACAGGAGAGTGTGTGTTCATTTCTTTGACCTCTTCCTATGATTTATGATGCATGTACAAACCTAGTGACACATTCTTAGTCCCTCTCTCTTGTTTTTAAAACAAAAGATACAGTGTTCAGTAATATCGCCTTATATATTGCTTTTTCTACTTAATACACCAGAGAGATTTTCCACAAGGGTTCACTGAGAGACTTCTATTTTTTTTTTTAAACAAATTATTTATTTAGGGGCCAGCAGGTGGTATGGTGCTTAAAGGTGTTGGACTCCCACATGACTGACGATGGTTCAAGTCCTAAACTGGGTGACTTGTTTTCTCACTTTTCCTCTCTCTCTGACTTGTCAAACTGCAAAATAATAATAGTAATAAATAAAGTTAAATAAAATAATTCTAAAAATTATTTTCTTCATTATTATTATTTTTATTTAATCAGAGAGAGATGGGGGTGGGGGACGAAGAGTGAGAAATCAAGCCACCTGGTCCAGGACCCAAACCGCAGCCCACTATGTGAGAATCCAGTACCTTAACCACCATGCTACCTGTTGGCCCCCCCACTTTTTTTTTTTTGTTTTATTTAGAGAGAGATTTTTGCTATAGGGTGTGTGCACTCGCCAGAGACAGAAAGACAGAAAATGAGAAATCACTTCCTAGGGAGGATGGCCATATTGCAATCCCTTCTTCTCCATTATCCTCTTGGGATTTTGGGCATGCACACACATGTGCCCAGCATGAGTTTCAAGTCTCCGGGTCCAGGACTTGAACCATGGTTGGTCATGTGGGAGTCCAGCAATGTAACCATTATACCATGTGCTGGTCCCCTTTGGGGTGCTTTTAATTTTTTTATTGATCTCTTTATTTTATTTATTTATTTTACTTTGACCAGAGAGGGACACATTGAGAGAGAGATAGAGATAGAGAGAGAGTGAGAGAGAGAGAAAGCCAGTCACCTAGTCCAGGACTCGAACTGTGGTTGGCCACGTGGGAGTCCAGAGTGCTTAACCACCACACCACTTGCTGGCTCCGGGGTGGTTTCTTTTTTTTAAAGTTTTTTTTTTTTTTTTTTTTTTTTAATTTTTTTTCTTTTTTTTTTAAATTTTACTAGAGAGAGAGAGGGAAAGTGAGAAAGTAAGCCACCAGGTCTGGGACTTGAACCACAGTCAGCCACATGGGAGTCCAACACCCTTAACCACCATGCCACCTGCTGCCCCCCTCCCCTTTGGGGTGTTTTAATAGCTGCAGGGTCCTTCCTGTGTAGACATAGGTCCTTACTGCTGGGCAGCTGGGTTTAATCTACTCTTTTTTTTTTTTTTGAGAGGTTTTTCCCTTAGGGTGCGTAAGCCCACAGGAGAGAGACAGAGACAATGAGAGGGAAAGTGAGAAATCACCACCCAGAGGGGATGCCCATGCCTCAATCCCGTCTCCTCCATTGTCTTCCTGGGATCTTGAGCAATCACACACATGTGCCTGCCGTGAGTTTTAGGCCACTAGGGCCAGGACTTGAACTGCAGTCAGCCATTTGGGAGTCCAGTGACATAACCTCTACACCATCTGCTGGTCCGGGCGTTTAGTCTACTCTTACAAAGAGACCCTGACTTCTCTTCTCTGTCCAAATTTGCAATTTTGTAAAATAAAAAAAAAAAAGCCATTTAAAAAGAGTGGTGGACAGAAAAATCAAGAGGTAGTAAATGAAATATGGCCATTTCAGTGGGTCCCAAAACTTCCTTTCTCTTTGCTGGACATTGACTTTTTTTTTTTTTTTTTTTTTTTTTGCAGAGGTTTTTGCTATAGGGCGTGTGCGCTTGCCAGATAGACAGAGAGAGACAGAGAGACAGAAAGCGAGAAATCACCCCCCCCCCAGGGGGATGGCCACGCCGCCATCCCTTCTCCTCTGTTCTCCTCTCAGGATCTTGGGCACGCATGCACACGCGCCCAGTGTGAGTTTAAGCCACTGGGTCCGGGACTCGAACCACGATCGACTATGTGGGAGTCCAGCGACATAGCCATTACGCTAACTGCTGGTCCCTGGACATTGACTTCTGATGCTTCCACTATGCACGTCTTTTCAATTCAGCTTTACAATCTTTTATTTTTGGGGCAGGATAGTGGCGTAGCTGTGACACTGTAAAGCTGACCCAGGTGGGAAGGTTCCATGTTAGTATCCAGAGACTTCCCTGAGTGTGCTAGGCATGATCCCATGATCTAGGGCTGGCTGAGGGTAGAGGTAGATCATGATTGGGACCAATAGATTTACTGGGGGTACTGTCTCTTTGTCTGTCTCTTTCACTCATGCAAGAAATAAAAACTAAAACTAAAACAACGACAAACTTTTCTACCTTGGTCCAAGTAGAACCAAGTGGTCAGCTTTCTCTTAGCCTAACTGCAACATGTTGAATTTTTAAAAGGAAACATTAAATAGAAAATGATCCCTGTCCCCCTCCCCCACAAAGAAGCAAAGAGAAGATAAGGAAAACGTAGTTGAGAGTATGACACACAATGTCTCATGCCACTGAGTCACTTTTACCCTCCAGCCTTGTTTCAGTGGCAGGATGGGGGCAGGTAGCAGTCTGGAAGCCAGTTATGTCCTTGTTTGGTCAGGGGGGTTATGAGAGGGAAGTAGTTGCAGCTGTAGGAACAGCCTCTACCTGCCAGAGTGGTTTAGTCAGTGGTTCAATTTAAGAGGTGACCCCTGCCCTTGTCCCTTGGGCCATATTGCTGCAGAGGTTGCAGTTCCTTAGTCCAAAGATGTGGTGTGGCTATCCATGAGGAGCAAGGGCTTGGCTGAAGAGTGACCCAAGTAAGCCCTAGCCCTGAGCTGAACCATCAAGCCCATCAACATTCTTTTTTTTATTTTTTTTTTTTGAGCGG